ATTTTGTGACACTTGTGGTTTGGAAATGGGTTATAATGGAATTTGAGCCTTAACATGTTCTTATTTAGTTTACATTTTATTTATTTTTGACTGTCAATAGAAAATTGTTGAAGGCAAATCCACTTCAGTCACCAGGGACGTCATGGCGTTTAACGTGTTAAAGGACAAAAACACTATTTTAATTATAGCACATCGATATCAGGAGAAATGGACTTAATGATGAGTCCAAACTCGATATGTTATTACTAGTACACTAGTACCAAAGCTTAATTTACTTAACTTATATATATTTATACTTTCTATACTTATTATATAAAGCCGAGGAGCTACCGAGTAACCGCGCTACAGTGCCGCGTCGCTGATCGCATCGCAGGCTCAGATCTAAGTCTTTAATTGAGAATTAAGACATTCTATATCTTATTTCGTAGATATTGAAATTGAAAAACTGTATTGTAATAGACACCGTCATATACGGAAGTCCTATAAGTGCATTGCCCTACTTTGCTTTGCTTTTGTGAATGTCTTTCGGGGTCATTCTCTAATTTGGCGTTTTTTACCTAATTACCGTAACCATTTTTATTTTTCACTGATTTACTTTAAATTAAATAGTTACAATAATAGTTGAACTTTAGGTGTGTAGGGTATCATAATAATCATTGGTCCATACCAATGATTTACTGCACTGTTAAATCGTAAGGTATATTGCGTGTGTATGATATAAAATAAGACAAAGATACAAACTCAATAAATAATGTAGCATGTAACTATTATTTGTGGTTTTGTAGATATATGTATATCATATTGTATTACCTACACGGGGATCGAACACAATATCGTCACAGTCTACGGACACTTGGAACCTCTGAACTTAACTTTAAAGTACACATGCTCTAAAATAGAATACCTATTGAGCATGCTCAAAAATGTTCAAAAATCGAACGCCCGTCGATTCGCAAACATGCCCGAAATGAGCATGTTATTTTGAGCAACATGCCAATAATAAATAAAAAAGATAAAGTCTGTTGAGCAAAAATGTGAGACAGTCATACTTCCCACAGCATGGTAACGGCCACACAGAAGACCGACGTGAAATAACGCTTGCGTTGTGTTTCGTCGTGTGAGTGAGGTTACCGGAGGCCCAATTATCCCCCCACCCCCCTTCCCCAATCCCTGAATCCCAACAATATTTATAATCTTAACTGTTCTATCCCTAAGTGGTCACTGGTGACCGCTCTCCACTAACGCAACTATAGACCTTATTTTCGATGTTTATAGACTACTTTTGTATGAACAAATTATGGCGATTTTCGGTAGATATATCAACGTACTAATCCCAAAAGATCGGTAACGTACTTGCATTTATTATGTGTGTCTGTGTAGGTGTGTATGTGAGCGCATCAAACAGTGTGACCTGAGTACACTGGCTCTATAAAATCAATACTCTATTACTATTGCATATCGCCAGCACTTTGAAATAGTACTTTAGGAAATTGAATAAGTAAAGTGCAGCTACATGTATATGCTCTTTAAAAGTCATTGATATTATTAGACCTTTAAGTTCGGTGTCCGGTGTAAGGTGACAGTTACTAGTACATAAAAATAATAATTTGATGTCTGTTATGCCCCTAAAGATTAGACAGCCTAACCTATATATATGGCTGTTTTATCCAACATCCCCTAAACAGTCTCTTAACAAAAAGGTTTTTACCGTGACGTAGTACTAAAAGTAACACCTTAGTTGTACAATTAGGTACTGATAGGTTGGCGAAAATATCGTTAAAAGTCACCTATCTTAGCTTAACGGTTTCTTAGAATTTAGAAAAGGTTGGTGAAATCGGATCTTATACTTTTTAGTTGTCGCGGAGAACCTAACGGGTTACCGGGGCCCCGGCTCGACGTGCAGGAGAAGGAACGGGGTGGTTTTTAGTCAGTAAGAGTCTGACACTCCCTCCCGCCTCACCCAGGCGGGAGCAGTCATTCGATTATTTTCCCCCCTTAAAAAAATGCTATTTTAGTTAAATCTTTTTTTTATGGGATAAGCCGGTAAACGAGCAGACGGACCACCTGATGGTAAGCAGTCGGCGTCGCATATGGACACCTGAAACACCAGAGACGTTACAAGTGCGTTACTGGCTTTTTGGGGTTTAGGAATTTGGGGATTGTTAGTGATTCAGGGATTGGGGAGTTTAGGGAGGGGGGGAGGGGGTAATTGGGTCTCCGGTAACCTCAGTTACACGACGAATCATGACGCAATTGTTGGTTCACTCCGGTTTTCTGGTCGGTCGTGGTATCACTCCACTCGAGCCGACCCGTTCGTGCCGAAGCATGGCTCTCCCATACTTAATCCCAAGTAAAATAATATTACAAATGTTAAACAAAACTTGTTTGTTCGTCGGTGCCACTTTATCTACTCAGTTAATCTTAAACTGTCAAACACCGCGAGGACACCGGTGACCGCAACCTATTGTTCTTTAATTGTGTCTATAATGACGGTACTCAAAGGGTTAAATTTGGGTGTAAGTTATTCTGTATATGTCATCGCAGGATGATTTTTGAATTACCCAAAGGTAATCCATTATAAGGTAATAATTGACTTTGCGAATCACTTTATCTAATTGATTTTAATACAATATAATGTATTAAAATATGACCTCGTTCGTTGCCAAACTGACCAACCCTAAAACGTAGCTTCGAAGCGGTTACAACTAATTTCAGTGCCTTGTTTCAGTTTGAAGCGGTTGAAACTGGTTCAGAGAGTGGAGTGTTAAGCCGGTCTAATGACGCGGTTAACCGTATTATGGCACAATTTTGTACTGTAATATTTAAAATGATTTTTACGTAAAAAATTGTGTACCTAACAAAGGATTTTCATGGCTTTCGTTTACCCTTTGAGATGAGTAAATGACTTCTTCAAGAGACTGAGAGAGACCACAAACCTATTTGTTATTTGCCCTTCAAAAGTTGTCTTTTCAGTTTAAGACAAAATAAATGATTTAACTTCTGACTTAATTTATACCCCAATTTAATGTAGAATTGACTCCAAGTCGCATTCTGAAACGATTTGGATCTAGATATAGGTACTCGAAGGTCAAAAAAAAGAAATAAGTTCACAGTAAATAAGTAAATAACCTAGCCTAGTAGGTACATATCAAAGTTTATTAACAAAATCCTTACTAATATTAAAATCGGAAAGTGAGTTTGTTTGTTTGTTTCTTTGTTCCGCTTTCACGCTATAACTACTAAACCGATTGCTTTGAATTTTTGCAGATGTATAGTTAGAAGTCCGGATTAAATAATAGGGTACTTTTTATCCCGGAAAAATTTAATATTCCCGAGGGAAAACAAAAGTATTGGTATAGATGGCGCTGTGTGTTTTGTTATATGTCACATTGGCTTTTTATCCTATTGTGTAGCGAGCGAAGCCGCGGGTAAAAGCTAGTAAATAATATAACTTTCTAGGTAATGATAGTTCGAATAAACTTCAACGAATTTCTAACCAAAGTGCATTATGAAGGTAAACACGGAATGAAAATCACGCGATTCTAAAATTGATTTTTAGTTTAATAGCATAATATAACATAACATAACATCACGTCTTTTAACCCCGAAGGGGTAGGCAGAGGTGCACATTACGGCACTTAATGCCACTGTATAATGTAACACCCACTTTTTACTATTTAACTTATGAGTCCCATGTAATAGGGGGTGAGCCTATTGCCATATACCGGGCACATTTCCAGACTTCGTGCTACTACTAAGATTTTTAAAAACCCAGTAATACTTTGCCCGACCCGGGAATTGAACCCGAGACCCCTTGTCCGGCGGTCGCACTTGTGACCACTCGGCCAACGAGGCAGTTTAATAGTTCGTTCTTATTACGTTCGTCTTTTCACAAATTTTTAATTAAAAGCTTGAGCTCTTTGGGCTCAGATGAGTCATATTCAACTAAAAAAATTGCCACGTTGAATCAAAATGACCTTTATTACTATGCACAAAGTGTGGGTTTTTTTAAGATAAGCCGGTAAACCAGCAGACGGATCACCTGATGGTTAGCAATCGGCGTCGCCCATGGACACCTGGAACACCAGAGACTTTACAAGTGCGTTACCGGCCTTTTGGAGATTAGGAATTTGAGGATTGTAAGAGATTCAGGGAATGGGGAGATTAGGGAAGGGGGTGGGTAATTGGGCCTTCGATAACCTCATTCATAGGACGAAACACAACGCAAACGTTGTTTCACGACGATTTTCTGCTCGGCTGTGGTATCACTCTGGTCGACCCGACCCATTAGTGCCGAAGCATGGCTCTCCCACACTTAAAAACATAAGTAAGTAAGTACAAACAATGTAAGTGCAATAAGTAAGTGCGGTAACTGTAATGCGCATTTTTCACTAGTTAATTTATGTGTCCCATTAACTTCTTGCTCATTGTTTTTATAGAAAAGATTCTCGATACACTAAAATATTTATTCAACCAAAGAGATGTAGTTCAATGAATATTATCAGTTTTGAGCTCACTAAATAATTGGCGATAGCGTAGAAGAGAATAAGACCTCGAAGAGACCTTGGTTCCTACTAGCATTTTGCAAAAAGGGCTTATGTAGGGCGTTAGTCATTCCGTACGTCGAAAATAAAACAACTTAAACTTAGAAAAGCCTTGAGTTGGCCTGTAATTAGCGAGCTAAAGAAATACTAAGCACTAATCAGTAATCACCTTACAAGTACTGACCTAACAAAATAATTAATTGGATTGCCCAATGAAAGTATGGTTTTCGTTTGTAGCTTCACCTGACTCACTTGTGGTAATCATAAAATTATCAAGAAACTACTCTATTTTACCTGTAAGTACCTGTAAGTTTAGTAGTTTTTTATGAAGTTGAGTAGTTTTTGGTGCAGACAATTGCAAACAGACAAACTATGCATAGATATAGATACTAAACTTCTTTTTATATCCAAAGATGTTAGGTAAGAAAGAGGTAGACTAGAGTAGAGTAGACTTACCTCCTCCGTTCTGCTGGCATAGATACGGGAACCGCCAAATATTCCCAAGTCCAACGGAGTATCCGATGATGGATAAGAAGAACTGTAGTTTGCCTGACCAGGCTGCACGATCTTCATCAGGAGCTTCTCTTTGTAGGGATCCCCTTGAGCCCTGGAGTACGATGGTAACTCCATGAGGCCGCTCACTGCCGTCAGCGCGAGCATTCAAAGGCGCCAACTCATGACCATTTCTTGGCCCAATCGCTTCAGCCTTTCCCGCCATTTTAACTGTCAAATCGCTTGTCAAATATATGTTATTTTAGTAGTTAACTTTTTATTTTATTTAGTTTTTAATTTAGAATCTTTTCGAAATTCCTCTACTTAAAATTATTATTATTAATTGATTTATACTTCGACACTTCAACTTTTAAATTATTGTCTTTTAATGTTTAAGTTTAACAAGATTATTAGAATGATTCCCTATGAATATGTTCATAATACGCTATTGATGTATTTCGTAATCGTATGTGAAGTATCGTATTGCGTCCTTTTTGACGAATTCGACTACTTTAAAGTACGTTGTAGTTCTTTGTAGTAATTTTTGCCGTAATTTTAATGAATCTCTGAACACGTTGTATGTTTCTCTGTGCATATGAGAAGGATTGTAGCGACGTTAATGTGAAAACAGCATCGTTTTGCACTCCTCCGGTGTTTGAAAGATCAAAATGCTATTTTAATTTAGACATTTTTATGTAGGGAACTGTCCAAGGAAGAAATTTAAAGTATTCCGGGCGTCTGAAACAAAAGAAAAGTTTCTTTATTAATTTCGTTATTTGCGGAAAGGAGATTTGTGTTCGCAAATGTTACCTACTAAAAGCAAGGTAAGTATGCCCAATGCAATGCTTTGTTTCGATTTCAATCGATTCGTAATTTTATCAAGGACGCTGTTATTCCGGATAATATAATCAATTACACTTAACAATTCCATACAGGCGCATGCGGAAATATTATTTTTACGAAACATTTAAAATACTGATAAAACATTAACTGAAATACGCCATTTAATTTATTTCCCGCCATGAACATTTCGAACACAGACTAACAAAATTAGACGTCACTCGGTGACAAATGTAAGTTTGACAATCAAGGCTGTACGATTTAATGTCCTTTGCCTACTACTACAGAATTTTAACGATCCGATCCGTGTGACGCATTTCTTTTACTCTATGACTTTTATAAGGTATTTATAAAAGTCATAGTTAGTATTAACATTCTATAAGAAGATGTTCGTTCTCAGCTAAAGATCTATAAACCTGCCCTATTAGGAGTACCTATTAAATGCGTACATTATACATATTTAATTTTCTACTTTTTAACTGCGGGGGTAAAGGTAGAAATATATTTATATATCATCATCAACATCCTATAAGTGCCCATTACTGAGCAAAGGCCTCGTCTCACACGAAGAAGGTTTTAGCAAATATAGGTACAGTGTCTCTGAACTGAACCATAGATAAAAGAAAAGAATACACAATTACGCAAGAATTTTAACACACATATACTAAAGTACCAAAACAGTATAGTTAATAAAACTAATTACTTTGGAAATACTACGATTGAAACAAACACTCCTACCGATCATTTTCGAGATTACAATCGGGACGTTTTAACAAAAGTGTGAAATCTTAAAATCCCGATATCGTGCCAGTAATGGCGGCCGCGGGATTTGTTGGAAACGTGAGAAATTGATGTAGATCGGCCTTACTGTGTTTGTGTGGACAAATGCCATGGAAAACTGGTTAAGTGGTGAAGATTTTGCGGTTTTTTTTTCGATAAATTCGTGTTTAAATATAGAAACGATATAAATAATTCGGTTTGTATGTTTTTACTGCATATTTGTGCTTTACTCATATTCCAAGTTATTAACTGTAACCTTCGCTCAAATATTTTTTATATAGTTATGATTAAGGGTCCCAATGTGGTCTGAAATTAGTCGACCTTTTGTCCAACAGTTTTCATTAAGGCTATAAAGTCAGTATGGATAAAGGAAGATTTCTTCTAAATCTGCAGCTGTTTCAAGATACGTGAAATACATTTTACCTTTAACACACGCATAATGGCTGGCTTTTTTAATTTCTTAAGGTGCAAAGATGTTCATGTCGTGTTGGCCCGGAGGTTTATTACGCCCTCTTCTCATGCATGAGGATGCGGACTCGAAACCTACCAACGGCAAGTACCAATGTGGCTTTTTTCGAGTTATAATGTATTTCCTAACATCTAGACACCACTGACAAACGGGTAAGGAAATAATCGTGAGGAAACCTGAGCTTATAATTTCTAATTATAAGTTTGTAATCGTCAACCCGCAATGAACAAGCGTGCGATTAATGCTCAAACCTAATCCGTGTGAGAAAAAGAGGCTTTGCTTAGCAGTGGGCATTTATAGGCTGTTGATGATGATGAAAGATGTTCATATCATAGTCATGCTCAACTCACCATTTACTATAATTATTATTCACATAAAATATGTTGTAATACTTAAAAATAGTACATAACGATTCAATCTAAATTAAAATATCACACACCCAATCCCACACTTCCACACTAACATACGTAAATCATAAATTCGCAATAACTGCACTCACATTCACAATCCGCCGCGTACCGGTTCGATCTGCTTTGATCCGGTAACAGTCGAATCCGAAGTATGTCAAGGTCTTACAGGGGATCTACCCTCCGTTTCTAAGATGGGGGAGACTAAAAAAGGGGTAGCCTTATAAGAGACGAATTTGTATGGTGATATGTGTGTATGTGTGCTTAATGTGTTTGTGTGTATGTGTGTAATTTTGCAAAAGGATCGTGTTTTAGTGAGAATTGATGTTTTATGTTAACTAGCTTCTATCAGTGGTTTCGCTCGCGTTACTGGTATAAAAAGGGGACTATGTTCTTCCGACAGTTGAATTTAAGTGTGGTTTTTCGAAAACTTTCCATTAATAGCACGGATATATTCACATCACACATCAACAGCCCATAATGCCCACTGCTGAGCAAAGCCCTTTTCTCACATGGCGAAGGTTTGAGCACTAATCGCCACGCTTGCTCAATGCGGGTTGGCGATTTCAAACTTATAATTAGAAATTATTAGCCCAGGTTTCTTCACGATGTTTTCCTTCACAGTTTGTCCTAGATAATCTTACAAAGTACATACAACTCGAAAAAGTCACATTGGTACTTGCCTCCACAACACGGAGATATTCGTAACGTAAGAATTCGTAACGTAATTAAAAATTACATTGTAAATATGCTCCTTTGCTCCTTAGAGCAACAAAAGGCTATTTTACGCTAATATATAACATCGCTATTCTCCACGCAACAAAAAAAACATGATGAAAAACCAGTAATAACTGCACGGTTGGTGCGGTGACTGGGCAACCACCTGCCCGGCGTCGTGCCGCGGGTTCAGTTCCCACAAGGAAAAACACTTTGTGTGATCCACAGATTGTTGTTCCGGGTCTGGGTGTCATGTGTATCTGAACTTGTATGTTTGTAAACGCACCCACGACAGAGGATGAAATACTAGTGTGGTGCATTTTTTAATATATAATAAAAAGAAAAGAAAAAGTATAGGAAAATATAACATCACGCCTTTAATCCCCGAAGAAGTGGGCAGAGGTGCACATTACGGCCCTTAATGATACTGTACAATGTAACACACACTTTTTTCCATTTATGTTATGAGTCCCATGTAATAGAGGGTGAGCCTATTGCCATATACCGGGCACATTTCCAGACTACGTGCTACTACTGAAATTAAAAAAAACCACTCATTCTTTGCCCGACCTGGGAATCGAACACGAGACCCTTTGCCCGGCAGTCGCACTTGCGATCACGCGGCTAATGCGGCAGTAAAAAAAGTATAGGTAGGTTACTATACTATTTTAGGACTAAAGCCGCACTGCAATACTATATCTGTTTGTCGCGGAGAACCTAACGGGTTACCGGGGCTCTGGCTCGACGTGCAGAAGAAGTAACGGGGTAGTTTTTAGTCAGTAAGAGTCTGACACTCCCTCCCGCCTCACCCAGGCGGGAGCAGTCATTCGATGATTTCCCCCCCTTAAAAAAATACTATATCTGTTCATTTGAACACCAGTGAAACACGCCTACTGATTGATAGATTGATAACACAGCTTTTATGAAAGCTTGGAGTTGCAAAGCTCCTGTATACAGGTATCTATTGTAATCTTAATCCATGCACTGACAGCTAATGTTATTGAATTATGAAGCTTATTGCATATATTGAAGCGTGACGTGATATATTACAATGTGTTAGGAAGCTATTTTGGTAGGAACTGGGATATTTTGGGAGATACCGGTTGGTGCGGTGGCTGGGCAACCGGCTGCCGTGCAACGTGTCGCGGGTTCGATTCCCGCACGGAACAACACTTTGTGTGATCCACAAATTGTTGTTTCGGGTCTGGGTGTCATGTGTATGTGAACTTGTATGTTTGTAAACGCACCCACGACACAGGAGATAATCCTAATGTGGGGCAACGTTTTATAATACTAATAAATACTAATAATATTAATAGAATAGGCTCAAAGATTTAACTTTTGACTTGTTAGTAATATTCATGCAAAATTTGAAGTAATTTTTGCGATCATCTCGGACATACATACAGACAATGACGATTCGCTTGTGGAAACTCGGCTACAAAGCCTCGAACACAGGCGCAAAATCGCAAGCCTTTCGGTCTTCTATCGGATACATTTTGATGAGTGTGCGTGGGAATTGCACAAACTTATTCCCCCTAGTCCATTTCACCACCGTACCACCAGACGAACGACAGGACGCCACCCTTATATAGTGGACATTCCACTTGTATAAGGAATTGGGATATTAGGAAGCGTTTCGCGTCAAACTTCCTCATGCGAACCGCTAAGGAATGGAATTCCTTGCCAGTCTGTGTTTCCCGTCAAATATGACTTGGATGTCTTCAAGTTCCGAGTGAACAGGTTGCTCATAGGTAGCCGTGCTCCATCGTCGGCCACATCATCGCTTACCATCAGGCGAAATGGTGGTCAAACGTCGACATATAAAGTATAAAAAAAGACAAACAGACAAAAATTCTAATTACTATATTTTTGGCTTCAGTATCGATTGTAGATCACGCTTCAAGTATTCTTTAAAAAAAAAAATTCAATAATACAATGTACAATTTTGACTTTTCTACTATTTCATTATATGTATTATGTCACAAACATAACATCACGCCTTTTATCCCC